GGAGAAATAATTAGGAAGAGATGTTTTGTGTATTATATTTTTAAATATAATTTTAAATCGCAAGTATATAATGTTTAATAATGGTGATTTAATAGCATCTTGCAAAATTTCAGAAAATTTAAGAATTGGTTCAATCAAGCTCTGTTCAGGCATGTGTTCTAGTGCTATTGGCTGTGAGTTCAGTGTTAATGAGTTTACAATATATGTCAAATAAAGTGTCTTTAAACAAAAGCACACATAAACAAGGTTATGTATTGATTAGCTGATGAAAACGTTGTGTCCCGAGGCTCACAGGAAGTTAACCCTGTATTTTTCCTTGGAGCAATGGTTCATGGTAACTTTATAGAACATCACTGCTGTGAACACAGAGAGTTGAATTGTATCTGTCTTTTAGGGGGTGACTGGATTGAGACACTTCTGCACTTAGCACATTGCTTGGCACCCAGTAGGAAAGCCCTAAGGGGTTTCTTCTCCTGTTCATCTCGCCTTCCTTGCGCTGGGTAGTGCTATGCTAAACCGGGCAGGCTCACTCAGATGCAACCCGAGGTTATGCAACATTCAAGGCAAGTATTGTTATTGTTGGACGCTCGCCTTCTCCAGAGAGGTGCTTTGGAAATTGCAAGCATCCATCAGTTCACAGTCCTTGAGACAGATGCCTTTGAACTACACAGAGAAAGGTGCTAACAAGAACAACAAAAAAGAACTACATTCAGTCAGCAAGTTGCCTCTCTCCCTAAGGTTCCCCCTGGCTGATAATGGCCAATTTTTCATATTTTTTTCAAGTTACTTTCCTTGAAGGAACTTAGAGTCTCTTCCTGTCCCAGGTCTCAGCATCCTCAGAGCAAAACCTTCTGCCTCTCATTCTCTGTCCTGACTTACATTGTTGACTGTGGGTTGAATTCTCAGTAAGGCTTAGTCCTTTATTTCTTCCAGTAGCCATGTGCCCATCATGATGCCCACCACCGCTGGCGACACAAATGACCCACTTCAAGTTGGAGTCATTTTTTTCCAGTCACGATTAGGATGGATATTATTACTCCATGTTCTTTCTCTTCTTATTAAAGATGACAACTGATCAAATTATGCTACTCCCTGCTTAAATCCCTGAAAGTTTCCCATTACTCATTGCCTAAAACTCACCCTTCTGAATGTGGGATACAGGCCCTGTACGATCTGTCCCTTTCTACCTTTTGAATGTCATCACCTGCGCTTTCTGCTTATTTTCCTTCACCCACATTGGCCTTCTTGCTGCTTCTTGAACTTACAAGCCTGGAGCCTTAGTGTTTCAGGTTCTCACTGGCTGACCTGCAACCACCCAAGATCCTCCCCAGCAGCTCCTGTCAGTCAGGTCTTAGTCCAAATCACCTGTCCCTGAGGTGTCTGTGACCATCCAGTCTGAAGAGTCCTGGCAGTCACCCTGCAACCACCTTGTTTCTTCATTACTTTTGTCCTTTGTCACCACGTGAAATTACCTTGTATTGTGGACTGAATTGTATCCCCCAAATTCATGGTGAAGTCCTAACCTCTAGTTTCTCAGGAGGTGACTGTATTTGAAGATAAGGCTTTTAAACAGGTGATTAAGGTGTGAAGGGAGGTGGTAAAGGGGGTTAAATATACGGTGACAGAAGGAGATGTGACTTTAGGTGGTGAACACACAATGCACTACACAGATGATGTATCATAGAATTGTCTACTTGAAACCTATATAATTTTACTAACCAATGTCATTCAAAGAAATTTAATAAAAATTTTAAAAATAGGTGATTAAGGTAACTTTCCCACTATGCATTCTAAGTGCATACCCCTAAAAGCCTCAGAAATAAATTCTGCAAATGAATCAGTGTTTATTGCAGAAGACAGAGAATTTTAACTTTTTGCCAAATTATGACACCCTGGAAACTTCATCCTATCTCTTTTTGGGAAAAAGTTAATGTAATAAAAATTTTACCAGTGTTTAAAAATAAAAAGACATGATTTAGATAAAATGAGGCCTTTAAGGGTGGATCCTAATCCAATATGACTGCCATCCTTAAGAGAAGAGATTAGGACAGATATGCAGAGGGGAGACCATGTGGAGACACCTGAGAAGGCAGGTCAAGGAGACAGGACTCAGATGAAACCAGCCCTGCCGACCCCTTGATCTTGAACTTCTGGCCTCTAGAACTGGAGCAAATACGTTTCTGTTGCTTAAGTCAGCCAGTCTGCGATATGTTGTTATGACAGCTCTAGCAAACTGACACTCCTGTTTCTTTGTTGTTCTTCTCTTTCCAGAATTTAAGTTCCATGAAAGCAGGAACCATATGTCTTATTCACCCTTCTATCCTTAGTGCCTGTAACAATCCTCAGCACCTAGTAGGCTCCTTATAAATATTTTGTAACTGATTGAACGATGCAGACAGGGACTCGAGCCTTTGTTGTTTAAATTATCTTTGGCTATGCAAATATTCTCATTATTCATTCAGCTGAAAAATAAACCTCTTGCTTAAAGAATCGCTTACTAACTTAGTCACAAGTGCCCGAGCTTAGACCGTCTCACCGCATTTTCCACAATTCTGGCTCATTAAACCTCCAGCTCTTCAAGGCCCTCTCCTCTCAGTCCCTCTCTGTTTGTAGACACCTTTAGCCTCAGCCCTGCGCCTTCCTCCCGAGCCCTGTGTGCCCGCTGGGAAGCTGGTACCATGGGTGGCTTCCCTTGCCCGAGCCTGCCCCGAAGCCCTGGTGCCAGCGATGGGAACGGGCACCGCAGGGACAGGCCGAGCTCCCAGCAGCTGCAGATGAAGCGCAGCCTCGGGCTCTCGCTTCCTGGCAGAGGGAGCGGGAATTGCTGGAAACTCGTACCCCACCCGCACTCTCCTAAGCGGCTTCAAACATCGACTGTGGCCTGGTGCCCCCCGGGCCGTGGGTGCAGTTCCTGGAATGCCACCCGCCTGATGGGCTGATCCGGTTTGCCCCCCGCAGCTCTCTGCTCTGCCTGTGGGACCTGAGCCCCGCCACCGCCTCCCTGGGCTCCCAGGGCAGCTTTCTGGGGCCAGCCAGTGGGTGCGTGAGAAAGCAGGGAGAGAAAAATGTCAGGGTCTTCGCTCAGCCGGGGCCCAGCCCCCACGCGGGGCCCTCTCCACGCTCCCTGCTCTCCTGGCCTCTGGTTAGAGCCCGGGTGGCAGTGGCTTCGCATGTTTGCTGGACTCCGGGTGCCTTGCTTTCCTGTGTTTCATCTTAGAATCCTACCCATGTGCCTGAAAGTAGTCCTTTTATTGACTTTTTTTCGACTCAACAATCTGATGGTGAGTTCTCTTTCCTGCCCAGATATAGGCTTTATGTAAATTTTTGACCTCAGTGTTTAGGGATGATGTAGCTTTTGGGTCCTCGTGCCAGCAGCTTTGGAGCTAATCAGGGGCGTGGGGCGCAGGCTCCAGCCGCCGTGGTCGTGTTGAGGGACCGCCTGCGTCCCGGTGCATGTGGTGCAAGCCCCCTACTTGGTTGTTCTGCCGCCTTTCACTGTTGCTGCACCGTTGCCACTGCTCCTGGTGAAGCAAGCGCAGGGTTGGTGGGAACATAATCAGGGGCAGAAATAACATGTGCCCGGGCTGGATGTGGCAGATTGGAGGTGCCCGGCAGCAAGGGAAGGGCCTGGGGGGAAGCTGAGCTGCACTGTGGCCATTCGGGAAGATGCTTGTGGAGTTAGGCTACGCTGTGCTCACAGGAGCAGCAGAGTCCACGGCTTCCCAGAGTGGTGCATTTGCTTACTGTCTGTCTTTCTATACTGAGAGACATTCTGGTGGTTTAATTTACTAGAATCACTCGCGTTTGGAACCAGACTGCTGTGGGTATAAGATTTTTCACAAGGTGTCTGCTTTATTTTTCATCACATTGGTGGTGGTGGTGGTGGTGTGTCTGGTGGAACGTCCATGTTATTTTAATGGCTCTTGAGATTCTAGATGCCATAAGCTTAGAAAAGAAGAAGGCAGCCGGGGAAGACCAAGTTACGCAGGAGAGAAGAGGGAGAGAAGGTGTAACGAAGTGGTGCACGGGCCCAGGGAAGACGATGTCAGCTGCGCTTCTATGAGGTGCACCGGTCAGACACCGAGAGGGACAGTTGTGTGTGTGTTAACTTTGGGTTGTTAGTCCTAAGGGCTTGTTTCATAATTTGGAAAAACCAGTGCAGTCTGATATATTTGAACAGATACTTCTGTAAATCATATTTTTTCCAGAATGAAGTCCTACGTAAAATTTAACATTGAAGTTCATATAACTTAATTTTCAGATACGATAACATATATATGTCATGACTTTGTTAAATGAACATTTGTTAAGTGGAGTACAGGGTGAATTGAGGTTCAACAGACCACAAAAGAAATTGCAGTAGAGAGGTTTATTATTCACTGGTCCTGGGGGAAGTACACGGCATCCCTCAAGGAGCCACATGGGGAGGTAAAGGCAGGGCGCAGACAGAGCGAGACAAGACCTGGGCACTTGCCTTTATCAGGGCCCACGAGTGGAGTGCTTGGGGTTCCTGGGCTGAGGCTGAATCGATCACTTCAAACCAAAAGAGCAGGGTTTTGGTAAGCCCCACAGGGGTCCCATCTAAGGGGTGCATAAGGCGTACAGGTGCTGGGAGGCTGGGGAGACTTGATCACAAGGGCTGTTGGGGAGGACATATCAGGGACTTACATTTGCTTGTGACCCTGTGGGCTGCTATCCAGGGCATGCACTGGCATGAGGGGCTGGCGTCAATTTTAGGTCCCTGCAGGCCACTTGACCAAATAAAATAGATGCCAAGGTAGCAATACCATGGAGTAGCTTAGCTAAATTCTCGACAAAATAACATATATGTAACACATAAATATAACATACTCGCTCAGTAATCATAGTCATTACTGGAATTTGAGGAGGCTTGCAAGAAACTGGTAAGATGAAGGAAAACCTGAAAAAGTCTGGTCCAGGAAGGTGTGGCATATCACCAACACAAGCTCGTAGTGCTTACAGAAAGGGCACTTACACCATACTCTTAATGCTTATCTTTATTATGAAAGTGTTTCCAAAGTAAAATGATCCTCATCATAACAATTGCGTCCAGAGATCATGAATGAATAATTATATTTTCATATAAAATTCAGCAAAACACAATAACAGTACATAAGAGAATTCTATTGGCTAACAGTACACCATTCCATTTTAACAGAGATGCTCAAGCACTGAATTGTCCTAAGAAAAAAGTAAGATTTTGTCACCTATCCTAGTTCTCACTGCAAGCTGAAAAATACCAAATCCAAAACTAACCACCTCCCCCTTGCATGACAACAAATGGCTATGGCAGTAACTATGTGGGCAAACACAGAGCTGGTGGGAATCATGAGCTAGCGGCATTATAAAACTTTTGGAAATCGAACTCGGACGGTGTTTTCCATGTTTAAAGTTAAAGTTCCAGAATCACCACATAACTGTTCCTATGACAGAGCTAATTTCTCTTTGTCAACTCATCTTTAAAAACCCCTAATTTTTAAAGGGCAGTTATACAATGACAATTTAAAACATTACTGTAGATCTAAATAAAAAAATTATCTCTATAAAATCAATTCTTCCCCCCACTGAACATAGGAATCATGCCACCAGCTGTTGTTCCTGGTTTCCAGGCCATGCAAAATACACCAAAGCAGGAAGCCAAGCTTTCATGGACCGTGTTAAGGAAAACAGGCTGATGTGCACACAACATTTTAAGAAAAATGGCATCAGGCAGAGAAGGAAGTGTGGGTACAACTGACCCAAAGTGCACTGGGAAATTGATAGCAGAAAAGTGACAATATTCTGGCTTCTGTTTTATCAAGAATTCCAGGAGGCTTAAGGGAATGTGAGTGAATGAGATCAATTACACAGATTTTAGGCTAACGGTCCCCTCGCATCACTTCCCGTGCAAACTGAGAATGCCTAGTCTTGTGGAGACACCGTACGACATGTCATCTGGCCGCACATGTTTTTTTATTTCTTTGATCTGATGAGGTCTTAGCTTGTGTACCTTTCAAAGGCTTCAGTTTTGACTTAAAGTTGGATATACCCAGAAAAGACCAAGGTTCTCCTTTGGGTGTTTGCAGATCTTAACAGTTACTTATGATGTTTTATGTTCTTTAATACAATGTTCTCCATGAAAGCCAGCATCAGGTATGCTCCCTCTGAGTATGTATTAGAAGAGTTCAAAAGCATAGAGCGGACAAGTGGACAGGCCTCCTCAGTATCTACTGAGCGCCCCCTAGGGGAGAGTAGGGGCCCTGCGTGCAAAGGCAAACGGCAGGGCTCTCTTCTGGACTATTACTATGAAGAACTAAAAGGTGGCCACGGTGAAACAGGGCTAATTACTATTTGGTAATTTGAGAATGGCACAGTTTCATGTTACCAAGAGAAATTTAAGTTGACTCTGGGGACAACAATATCTTTATTAAAAACATATCTTGCTGCATTTTGCATGACTTCAAGGACCCTTTGATTATTACAAGTATTCTTCCATGGACAGAAGGCTAGACAGCAAATGCAATAACTAGAGCTAACTGCATTTTCTCTTTCCATACAAGTTACTTAGAGACTGAAAGTGCCTTGTCATCACTGAAAGTGCCTTTATCATCAGGCTGACTTTGACCTGATCTTTTCTTATTTGAATGTTAGAAACATTTCAGGGCTATCATTATTTATCAACAAAGCAGGAATCAGCCAAAGACAACAACAACAAAACAGTAAGCTAATTGGAAACTTAAGACCTCAAATAGCACACAAAATGTAAACATATAACCTTTTATTCCCAAAGGATTTCTTGAACCTCTCTGGACATAACGGCATCATCACACATACTGATAAACAGAATCTTTTAACACCTTTGGAATTATTCTGTATACTTTTTATACTTAAAATTAAGAAAAAATATTCAGGCATCTTTGGCGTTAACATTTCCAAGAAAGGGATAAAAATAACTATCAATAAAAAAATCACGAATAGATCGGGAACCATCATAGGTGTTCATAAAGACCTTTGTGGAAAGTTCTTTCGGAAAGACTCAGGTAAGCTGAAATAAAATCTCATTTTTTACTTCTACACAAGGGGAAAGCATTCAATTTGCTCAAATTCAAGTTCTATCATATATATATACTCAGAACGGAAAGTTTGGCAATAGAACTGGACATTGTGAGGTTCACCAAGTGATCTGATCTTATCTCACTAAAGAGTTCTCTCACCCAACCGCTTGCTTTCTTGGAGAGCCAGCCTTTCTTCCTAGTTCATCTTCGTCAGGTGTGTTTCATTATCTGATGGCACCTCAGAACACCATTATCTAGCAGCCTAGCAGGAGTCAGATGTTAATAAAATTGTGGGGTTGAAGCAGCAATCATATGCATTTTTTCCAACATACAGTTTAATAATCCAAAATACTGACAGTTATTCCCTTGTTCTCAACATTCATATGACTCAGTTTAGAAATGAAAACTGTATTTGGCTTATCTGCTGACCTTAGGCCTCTATGATCTTGATTCTGCAATATTTAGCTCTGAGGCTGAGAGACAAAAGATTCTATGACTCTCAGCTGTGTGAGTAGCATGAACGGGAGGTTGAAGGAAAGGCAGGAAGTTTCTATTGTACATAGTGAATGGTTTTTATGAAAAGAATATCGATAAGGATGAGTCGGTGATATTTTGGTTTTATCACATTTTTGAAGAAACATACAGATACATACACAGATCACACATTTATATCATTTATTGACCCAAGGCCAAATTCTACTCAATTTTCTACTTTCCCCCCCACTAAGAGATCTAGAAGAGCTATAACATTAGAGAATAAAAGATACTTTTTCTAGATTCCTTCCTACACACCCTTGGTACCCTGGGAAAGTCTGAATGTGACCAGGAGGAAGGAGATATCAGCACAGGCTAAGTTAATTAATGGGCAACAACACTCTCACTAACCTACAGTGGAATTTACAAACTACGCTTCCCACAGGATGGCCTGGCACTGGTAGGGGGTATTTTTGTCACTCAGCCTTATCAGGCCACCACCGGAGAGCAGCACACAGAGATGTATTATCCTTCACCTCGAGAGGCCTACAAACACCATTTTGATTCTTCAAAAAGAACTCTTTGTCCTAAAATGTAAAATGAAATAAAAACCTGTAGATCCATTGAGGACTTTGTTAAATTGATGCCATCGGTCAGAGAGGCTCTAAGTACTCCCAGTCCTCCCTCTAAGTGACTTCTGGGAAAAACAAAAGCTTGTCTAGGTTTGCCTTTGCTAAGGACAGACTCAATTTACTTCATTTTATGCAACTCTAAGTTAACAATTTATAAGCTGATCTTTTGAAATTGTTCTTCTGTACTAAAGAGTGTCGGGTAATCTATATTTGAACATACTGTGGTTCTCTGGTTTATTTCACCCACGGAAAGGACTTGCCCTACCACTGGATACAATCCTCTTCTCTTTCATATTTTAGTTGATAAGAAAAGAAATTTTCACCTTCTCTAAATTTTTCACCTATAACACGCTTGCTGTTACTTTTTATTTACCTGCATCTCAGCAGATGTTCAGATGACTAACAAGTACTTTTGATGTTTTATGATTGGCCTTACAAAGTCAAACCATCCTCAGATTACACCTTAGACATATCTCTCTTTTGTGAAATAAAATAAGGTTTTACACGAAGAATTAGTTGCACTGTGTTTCAATAAACAGGCAGATATATTTCCAAGCCTCTTGAGTTATTACTGTGAACTAAACCAGAAACATACTATTTTGTAACTAGGTGGGGAAAGATTTAATATTACAGTGTGAGGTTTTTGTTTGGGACTATTCTTTGTACTACAGGTTGTAAATTGTGAACACAAAGCTTTAATTTTTTTTTTTTTTAATGGATCTGAATGTGAATGGCTCTGAACAGCATGTGCACTCTCTAGTATTTGCTGTTGTCTGCACTGTGCCAGATTCGCACATTTATGTCACTGCATTGTGGTTTTCAACTCTTGTTTTACATGATGGTCTTTTTTATTTATTATAGTAAGTATCTGTAATACTTTTTTATTCCCTCTTACTAAAAGTTGGAAGAAAGGAGATAAAATCTTTGGTTATGTGTATGGTTTTCTTATCTATAAGTAAATAACACTGCTGTCTAGGGGACAATGGAAACTTATTTTTCAGTAGTTTTTCTCATTGCCAATATTGTCATTGTCCAGTCTAATTTTTGCTTTTCTGGCTTCCTTTGAGTAAAAATTCCTGTAAAGCGAACAAATCTTCAAAGAAGCAAACGAAAGGACTCAGAGTGCAACACTGCTTGAGTAACAGGGAAGTCATTCTGAGTTATGTTTAGGGAGAAAAGACAATGGGTAAAAGAGTCTTTTTCCCACTGCCTTTATTTTGCTCAGAAAAATAAAAACATCAAAATCAAACACTAGATACGGCACTTTCTTTGAAAGATGGTGAAATAAAGTGCTTTGCACTAGAGGTGACCTTTGCCAACTCTTGAAACTCTCTTTTTTTTGTCCCAAAATATACTTGGCTTCTTTTTTTTCATGACATAACACAAGACTGCGCTAATTACGGGGGCAGTGGTAGAATCTGGCTGCAATCAGCTGCTCTCTTTATGCTAGTCTCAGGTCACGAAACAAATGCCACACAGTCAGAGTGTTTTCTTTGTAACTATGACCTTCAGCAAATGTCTTTCTTTAGAGCCAGAGCATTGACCTCATAACAGAGAACAGAAAGATCTCTGTAACCTACAAGGTGAGTCCCCAACTAGCTACAACACTCACTGAAGAAGTCCTGGTTATGTGCACAAGAAATGAAGTCTATTCCAAAGCCATTTAATACAAAACAATTTTTAAAAGCCCTCCAATAACTATACTCTTTCATTTGAACTGCTCAATGACCATGAAGAGTGACAATTAAAAAACCTAGCTCGTCCTATTTAAACTATCTGCTGGGGGAATGGTCACTGAGATCGGGCACTGACACAAAGAAAGCAAACCTATTTGGAAGTGTACAGGAATCTTGCGCTGGCTTCTGCTTGCTCTAAGAGAAATTAAGCTGATGCTCCTAGCAGATGGGGCTACAGCAATAGAAAGGGGTTGAAGCAGATGGAGCATCTCCCTCAATGTCATGAACCCAGGGAGTAAAAGGAATGAGGAAACCCTCTTTTGTCCACAGATTTACAAACAAATACAAAAAAATAAATAATATTCTAAGACAATACAAATGCAAATATTGTTCCCTTGTGTCAATTACATACAGCATGCCTACGTACAGAGAATGATAATTCTTCATTCACAGACGGGACATATGGCAGAGCACTATTCAAAATGCTTTGAGAATCCTAATTTTTGTTTCTGGTGCTGAGATATCATGAAAGGAACTGCATTTGCAACTTATTAAATACTTCCAGGAACAAATAGTTCACTTTGTTCTGGACTTGTAGTTTTCGTAATTAATCATCCACGGAGCACGGGCCGGTCAGGAGGTACCCGTTGGTGCCACTGGTTCCATTGGTGGTGGTGGCAGTGTGGGATTTCTTCCCTGCAGGTTCCGAGTCCTCCTCATCTGAGCTGGACTCAATGTCACTTCGATCATCCTTGGACACCTGTGGAATGCAACACAGTGAGTGTAACCAGCTCCTAAGGAATCATTCAGGTATCGCATGCTCAGAATCACATGCAATTGTCATACATGAAGAAAAACAGATCCAAGTGTTAAAAAACCAAAAAAGATAAAAACTTTGCTATAGTAAGAGATCCCCTTTACTGGAGATATACATTTTGGGTGACAAAGTCAATTGTCAAGGAACGTAGGTAGACTTAGGTATCACAGCAGGCTAGATATGCTGACCTCTTGATGTCTGGATTGAATGTACTAGACCATGAATCCCACTTTCTCCGGCAAAGTGGCCTACTGTACTACTGGAGTGGCATTAAAGGAATTTGGTACAAACGACTCAACTTACATTCTGATGATCGCATTATCCTTGAGAATCATTTGAAGTCAGCTCTCAATGAGCTACACTAACGGAGATATTCACTAACTCGGATCATCAAAACATCATTCTTATTTGGCTTTGTAATGCATTGTTTCATGATTTAATTTGGTTTTCTTTTCTGTCTGCTAGAATTAAGTAGAAATTTTGTTTTATATACTACATCATAACTAATGGCAGTAGGAAGCATTTTGAGAACCTGCTGGGTCAGGTTTAGTTTTAAATATTTCCAAAGGAAAAGCTACTGACAGAATCTGCACAAATTGGTTCCCATCATTCCAGGGTTCTTCAGTTCTCCAGTCATCTCATTAAGTAATGACGATGGTCACAAAAGACACCAGATAGGAATCTATACATTACCATAAAGAATGAAAAAAAAAAAAAAAAAAAAAATCAGGCTGTCCAGCAAGGAAGTGATTTAGGGAGAAATTTAGGAAATACTCTGCTACTTTTAATATTAAAACAGTTGGAATCTCCTACTCTGTAAGTCTAAATTATGGTAAGCATTTTACCCAAAAGACCTTAAGAACTTTGAGTAACTGAACACCATTTACTTGCTTCCTAAGTGGGGTGGCAATAGGGACTGGTGGCCTGGCTTCATAGAAATTTCCCCACCTGGTCACCTGTGATTCTCTAGGGGGTGGGCTGGGGAGGTTGGCAAAGTCTCCTGGGAAGTATATCAGAATTAACTGGGGGATTTTTCATATCATGTCCTCTCTGTGCCACCACTACTCCCCAAATTGAGAACTCTGGGTCCCAGTGCCCTTCCAAGTGGGAAGCCACTGTTACTGAGAGAATGTCAGCTCTGTTAGGCAGGAGGGGCTAGAGATGACAGTAAATAGCATAAAAATGAACTTCACTCCAATGCCCCTTGAGATGATGCTAATTCACAAGGACCATCTCCAAGAAGATTAAGATACTGAAACATCAAAACAGCTAGATTATAAGGATACTTTAGCTTAATGAAACACAGCTCACAAAGACGGCATTATAGTAGGGCTCCACTACATTTAGAAATCCATTAGTCATAAATTAAGCTGCTAATAGGAAAGAAAACTCCAGTTTCAGAAAGTGATTAATTTACATTTGCATGATTAGTAAGATTATTTTTAATTACATTTGGCAAAAAAATCTATAGTTATGTTACCTTCAAAGAAAGAAACAATTTCCAACGTCTCAAAATAATCCACAAAAAATTGAGTCCATAACCTATGCCCATGAATCTTACTGTCTTAGGTGAGCAGTAATGGCAATTAAAATATCATGAAGCCTGAGATCTGGAATAAGATTAATGATCATGTCTTCATAAAGTTGAATAAATAAGTTGGAGAGAAGACAGTACATCTGGTGGAAACAGCAATGCAGTAAGGAAGGAAGTAACCTACTCCGTGGCATCCTTATATCTTCAGTTATTCTCTCCTACTGACAGTATTGTGCATGTTGAATTAATTTGTATCCCAATGAGAATAGGAGCATTTTAAAAACAGAAATACATACTCGCTTTAAAGAGTAAGAGGCCACAGAGAAAAAAATATTTTGCCTTTAAACAATGTATTGATCAAAATATTTTGGATTTATAAAATAAGAGCTGACACTGAGCACTGCTTCATAGAGTATGACCAGGTGTCCCAAGCGCCTCTATGGAAGGGTCAGCTCTGTTTTCCTCACTGAGGACAAGGTGGTTAGTTAAGGGCTGCCTTGTGGTCTAGGGCACCTTAGGCAAAGGAGCTCATGCTCAGTACTCCATTCTGGACCGTGCTGCTCCTCTCCCCAACTTAGTTCTATTACTCCTACTTCACTTTTGGCCTATTTCTGTTTTTTGGCCAACATGTTAAACACTGATGAGAAAAATTCCTCTCCTTCTCTGTGGGGTCATGCAAAGTTTAGCAGAATGCAAGCTCATACAGAAGGGCATTAACGGAGCTGTCCCCAGTGTCCCTCTGCAGCTGGTGGGAGCCATACCTCAGTTAGAGCCTCCAGCCAGTGCAAACAGATTAGACAGAACAATATGCATGGAAACAAAAGCATCTGAGTGCCCCTCCAACAGGCAGGCTAATGTGGCACCCAGGACCATGACAGAGAGAGACTTGTGAGAAACTTACATGTAAAGGGTTCCACTTCCCAGCCTTCCAGGGTGGCAGAAGGAGAACAAACAATGAAAATAAGAAAATATCATAGAGAACTTTCTAGAAAGTCACTGCTGTACATAGAGGGGTTGGGGCGCAAGAAGCTTCATTCCAATCAGCCTGAGTCCATTTTTTTAACCAAAGAGATTCAACTAAATTTTATTGGTAAAGGCATAAATGGGCATCCTGGATCAAGCAACCCTTCTCGTAAAAGGGAAGAAGTTACTAATTTCTGTTCAGTATTAAGTATAATCAGGGAAGGACCAAGGGAGACAGAAAGAGGGAGAGAAAGAACACAACAAATAATATATCATTAAATCTAAAATTATAAATGAAGAACATTGTCAGTAAAGCAATGTTACAACTTAAAAAGTGAACTAAGTAGACGACAATAAAAATTTTGGGTGTGTGTTTTTATGAAGTTATGCTCACTTTGGGGAAAAATATCCATTTTGATGACATTTGAAATAATAAATAATGTTCTTGTTGATTTGGAGCAATCAAGAAACATAATTATCTGGGACATATTAGAAATGGTGAATTTTATCTTACCTTGCCCTTTGAAATAGCTTTGCAAGCTATTTTTACAATCAAGTAAGACCAGAAGCAGTTCAAGCCTTGTATTAGCAACAGCAGTAGGTTGAAAACCCACCAGGAAGGGTAAGGTCCAACAATCTCCCAGCTTTCAAACAGTGTGGAGTTCAACACCCTAAGATAAAGGAGAAAGGCATCATTGAACACAACGTTTCACTTTGCCTGCAAAGAAACTCTAGGACCTGCACAGAAGCAGAGTCAACAATATTCACTAACCACTCCTTCCCTGCAAGGCTGACCTGGTATTTCGAAGAGTCATCACCTGAACTATGCCCCTGGTGGCCAACATTCATTTCGATTCTAGTTTTAATAGTGTATTTATGCCCCCCCTTGACTTTTGTCATCGTTTCTTCCATTAATTTCCATTAAGTTTTTAGTTGTGATTCTACCTCTGATTGCTAAAGGGCTTTTGAAGTTTCTTTTGGTCTTCAAATAAGGGAGGAACACCACTCAATAACATTACACTGCAAGAAAAAAGGGTAAATTAATTCCAAAAACACTAGTTATGTTTAAACCATATGCCTAGTACAGTGGGAGCTAGAACACACTTCAGACCTATCTCTTGTCCTCGAGTGGTTTACAGTCTAGTAGGGGAGCCCCTAGAGGGTTCTTCATTCTGTAAGCCTTCCCCTTGAAAGAACTGACAATTGAAAGATGTCATTTTGAAGTGATGCCTTGAGATGAGTACTGGAAGAATCTTAAAAAGTTATTAGAATATAATGAATGTACTTAGTTTTAAGAGTGTGTACTCGAGGTAGGCAAAAGTATTTGAGGCAACTGGTTCTCTCTGTAATCCACCAGCAGGACCAGAACGGAGCAGCCACCTGGGCAGGTGCCCGAGAGCTGGTTTCAGTGTCTGGCTCTCCTCCCTGCTGGAAACTGACTCCTGCCTTCTGGATTCCGATTGCCGCCACAGAGAAGAACACTGCCCACAGAATTTTGGAATCCCTTGCATTTCCTCTTTAACTTACTGTAGGGCTGGTTCTTCAATCTCAGAGTGTTGATAAAACTCATCTAAGTGCATTTCCCCCATCTGCCACTGCAGTGCTTTGCTGGGGCCCCATAGGAGATGTTAGGTGGACCACACTTAGTGGCTAAGGAGGAGGGATGGAAAACTCTTGAATTTAAGATACAAACCACTCATACAAGAACAGCAGGCAGACATGCAGATAATTTTCATAAAACAAAGAGTGTAATGAGTGCTTTGAGAGAGGTTAAGGAAAGTATGAATCCACACAAAAACCCCCACTTATTGCAGTTGGGATAAGAGATAAAGAAAAAAGAAGAATGAATAATATAAATAGGGTCCCTATCCCCAATTTCATCCTAAAAACTCTAACCCTGCCACACTAGTTGTTTCTCAAAAACAATACATATGGATATTAAAATCCTAAAATAACAATATGAGATTGAATTTGACAATTCACTGAAAGTTTATTACTCTATGCTATAGTAGTATTCATTCTGCCAGAGGGGGACTAATATTAGGAAATCTATTAATATAACGTGTCATACATCCATAGACCAAATCGGTACAAACCTACTTATTTCAATAGCAATAAGAGACATTTGCTGATGTTCAACACTACATTGCTGATATTTAAAATTTAGGACTCAAAGAATTTATTTAATATCACTTTTAAGCAACTCAAATCACCAGTTATCATACTTAAAAAAACATCAATTTTTTGCCCCTATAATCAGGAACAAACCACAAACAGCCAACATCACCATTATTATTTAACATTTTTCTAGAAGTTCTGGCCAGTGAGTATGGTAGAAAGTCAAAGACTTCATTTCAAATATGTAGACATTAAATCTTTGTAATTATTTTAAAAACAGCGAACAATCAAAATTTCCAATATCAGAAAATGGACAAAAAAATTAATTTTCATTCTTAATACAGAGATTATGAAGTCATCATCTTAAGTATTAAATGTTTCAAGAGTTTCTTATGATAAAGAAAAATACATATCATCTCAACTCCATAAAATACACATATGTGCACATGTACATGCAAAAAAGGGAATGAATGATACATCCTGGAAAGGAATTAATCAAAAGCATTACAGGCTTCCTTTGATGGATTAGAGATTGTGTATATTTTCCTTGTTACATTCTATTTTCCAAATCCATGCCAAATAATTCAGAAAAAGTACAAATCATTTGTAAAAAGGCGTAAATCAGGATAATGCCTATATCCTTGCCTTGTGCATTAGAACAATGATTTTACTTCAGAACTACCTCTGCTTCTTGGAATGCTATTCATTTGGATATCAGAGAGAAATCAGTTTAATTTGAACAGAAAGAGGCCCTGTAGAAACAGCAACAATGCCTGGATTACGCTCTTTATTATAGATCAGCCTTTGCTGGATTACAGCTTGAGGACCTTCCTCACCAGTAGTCTGCTTGGCTTAACTGGAGCAGGGAGTCATGCAGTCGCTGGTGACATGGCATCACATTAATCTCTGCAATGCTGCATCAGAATTCACAGCCTTGGCCATGACAATCTGTGGTGCGTCTGAGGTGCAGCTCAAAAGTAATGAGGTTTCTTAGAAAATTGAGTTGGTGGCCTGCAGAGACATATAATCAGTGCACTGAATGGATATGTCTCTTAGTGCGAAGTTTGGTAAGAAAAACAATGTATTGGGAATTTAGACTGGGAGAGATCATTATGCACCTGGGCCTGAAATGAACCCAGGAAACAGGGCCTTTTTTTAAGCCACAGAATATTATGGATATAACTGTTTCCCCCTTTTTGGGAGCAGGCTATTAAAATGGTGATTACAGAATTTTATCATTTATCAGAGGTTAGGATTAGGAGTATGTACCTTAATGATGCTGTTGCAAAGCTCTGAATAAAGGGTTATTCTGAGGGAGGATTTCTGGGAGGGGTCATGAGAGAGGCTCCTAGATGCTGGAAACATCCTATAGCTTAATCCAGATGGTGATTATATGGAGCATACAAATGCAAACATTTACAAAGGTAAAAATGTAGGAAGCTATACAATGAAAGATTTGTGCACTATATTGTATATGTGAATTATGCCTCAATAAAATAAAATGGCAAAAAGTACTTTGTGGGCCAAACACAGCCAGTTTGCAACCTTTCGTTTGAATAATTACTGTATCAGTGTCCCTCTCTGCAATACTCTAGGCTCACAATGTGGCTCCTAAGAACACAGACACCACCGCCCCCCTGCCAATAGTTAGCCTCCACCATCAAACCTCCTACAGCTGCTCAAGTAAAAAGTGGTGGAGAGCTTGGAGGTATAGACACCATTAATGCTGGGCTCACTTAGCCACTAGGTGGCACATTATGCATGTACAAGGCATGCTCCACGAGGTCTGTTCTGCCAGAACCTTCAGCCAGCCAGAGTGTGGGCCCAGCACAGAAATCACTTGATCTTCAGGTTACACCCTCCCTTCTAAGAATCCTGTCTAACAATGGAATGGAAGGCTCCAGTGCACACTTCTTTCTTCCTGCAGGATTCTGGAAAGAAATGGGTGCCTGAAGGGCAAAGCTGAGCTCCCTGCAATTCACTGGTGACCTGCAGATGCACCTGTTACCACCCCCAAGGGCTGAGTTAAAATAACCTTGATGGGTTATTTTAACGGATGTTTAATGAATCATAAGAATTTAATCTGACTATGCCCTATAGTTACTTCCTCTCGTGCTTACCTTTTATGGATTCTTCATCTTAAATTTGATGATCACAGAATTATTATACAGGCTATACAAGGCGGGGGGACGGAGGATGGGGGGATGCATACATTCGTGCAGAAAAGTTTGCAACCTTTTCTTTTTAAGCAAAGAAAACACAGTCTCATTTTCATATGAGATTTAAGGCCTCGCTCGTTTACGTTCTAAGCATCAATGTTGCATCTGCTCTCCCTTTAAGCCTCAGGGTTCCGGGAGTCTCAGTGTCATACAGCACAGTGTAAAAGGATCTTCAGTGGCACCTCATTCAGAAATGGTACAGCCAAAGCTTAATTCTTCATCCTTGTCATGACTGTCCGCTCAGAGTTTAACCTGACAGTCTTTACTACACAACATTAGATGAACAGTCTCACCTTCAGTGGATGTTTATGATGGGACCATGGCCCAAGACAAACACAAACTCCCTACGCCCTTTCTCCCCTCTACCACCAAGGACCTCCCTCTGAGCCTTGGGTTGTGTATTTCTGGAATGATCTATATAAAAACCATAGTAATAATGAGATTCATATCAAATACCAAAGAGAGCCAAGAGATAGGGTCAGGTGTCACTTTGAGGAGCACTGCACAATGCCAGGGAGGGTGCGTTAAAAAGAAAAATTTGCTTTGCGGTCAAAATTAGGGTGTCCTTTACTTCAGGGTTTTTGAACGGTCTTCACTTTGCTTTCCCAGACAAACCTCAATATATTTCATGATGTGTTTTTCTCCGACATATATTTTCAGTTGCTCTACACACAACGTAATTGAAAAGTAGGTTCTACCTAAAGATTACTGATAATCTCCTGGCATGTTTTGTTCTTTTAAAAGTAAATGCTGATAGAAAAGCATTTAAAATGTACTCTGAACAGAAACCACTTAACACCCGATAAAGAGTCAGTTAATTAATCCACTGTTAGAGCAACTGTCTTTGTCCTGGTTTTCTAAGGTAATAAAAGCTCCAAGACTAAAGCATATTTCAGTCAAGGGTTGGGTAGTCCAGGTTTTAGCCTTTGGTAAAGGCTGAAAACCAAGCTTGCAACACTCTTTTAACAAGACGGCCCCTAATCTCTGAGAAAGGGTAAAATTCCACAATCACCATTTTAATACCCACTCCCCCCACAAAAAAGCAGGGACAGTTATATCCATAATATTCTGTGTCTTAAAAAAAGACTGAAGCCTACTGGGCAGGTAGGAATCTAAGAGACACTGAGACTCTGGATGTACCCTTCCAGTTTTCTAAGAGTATAAGCCATCCTCACACCCTCAGAGGGGCAGACGGAGGGCCAGGCTCTGCGGCCTCCCCAAACCTGAATGCCCTTCCCCGAAGGGCTGCTTTCAGCTCTCATTCTCTGTAGGAACCATTCCTAACAAGGCTGACAACGGACTACATGCTTCTGGGCCGAGCTGGATAGGATGCT